TACAAAAACCTCTTTGTTAAGTCTTAATTCTAGACGCCATATAACAAGCTGTAAAGTTATAGTCTTCATACTATAATTAGCAGTCTCTGGGAACTCTAGAAGAGGTGAATTCCCTGTTTGACAATTTGGTAGTGACTGTGAGATAAAGTTCTCCTTTACTAAAGAAAATTGAAGTTACTTGCTACTAAGAAAAGTCGATCAGTTTTGAACCAATCTATCTGAAATTTTACTGTATATTCTTGAAAACCTACCGCATCTTTTGTACTAAATATTACATTAGTAGCAAATCCTTCTGAAACCCGCTATTCACGTTTCAAAATAGTTTTGGGATTTTGATCTGCAAAGAAAGTTAGAGAAAGCTTCTCCAAGAAACCTAACGACATTGGTTATACAGACTTTGGACACTAATATCTTAGTGAATATCTAACTGAATTTAGATTTTTGACCACTATTAGGACTGCAAAGAACCAAAGAACAATTCTTTTCTAAGTGAGAACAAGTAATAGCATAGTATCAAATACTCTAAAATAATACTTTTTCAAAAAATTAAAAAATTTGTATAGTTATTAAGAGTGATATCTATGACTAGATGAGGAATTGCAACTCCACAAACACCACAACATATTGAGAATATTCAAGTATTGAAGGTACCTTCTTACAAAGACTACCTTGAAAAAGAAATTGATAGATTAATTAATTCAACTAAACAAACAGACAGTTCTTTTATCTTTACTATAAAAGATTTATAACTTGCTGACCTTTATTTTGCTCAACTTAAACAAGTTGAAGCTACTATTGACTTGTAAAAGTCTTTTTCTCTAATTCTTTTAATTGTTTCCTATGAGCCAAAGTATAGACGTAAGAAACCTCTTTTATAATTTTATTTTCTGATTTAGTATATTTAAATTTCAATTTTGAATAATTTTTAATTTTACAAAGCATCTAACAAACATAATTAGACATCAAAAACAACATACCTTGAACCTACTTGTTGAACCAGACGATTCTTGTAACATCTGTTACCCTATTTTAACTCCTATATTATTTACTCTCTTTTATAATTTTATTACTTAGTATAGTAAACAATACCCTGCAGTAAACTTTACTAGCAAAATATTAGAATACTTTAATAATTTTAGGAATATTTATTTACAATTTGAATTATCTCAACACAAAAATCTTATTTTCAAGATAATATATAGTATTAGATACAACAACTCATCTAGTGATATTCGTGAAATAATCAGAGAAATTGCAGTATTATCATTATATACTGATTGTTTTGAGAAAAACCTACTTCATTTATCTAAAGAAGAACTAGATAATACTGAACCTTTTGATCAACTCATAGAAAAAATACAACAAATCCCAAATGCTTATATCTAATTAAATCCTTTAGTAGAATTACTATTTTATAATAATCAGATAGCTACTCCTGATTTATTATTTAATACTTTCTTATCGATAACTCTATACCTATCACCTTTAAACAACCCTTCTTTATTTATAAACCTAACAATGGCTGCAACAACTGATGATATCATGAACTACCTTAAGGCAAATACCAGTGGGTCCCTTCTGCTTAAAGTAGAGCCATTTACTAGTGATAGTACTCAGGACCCATATACTTAGATAGAATACTTTGAGAAAGCTACTACTGCTAATAGATGGGATAGTAAAAGAAAAAGAGATATTCTTCCTGGTTTCTTACATGGAGTTGCTGATGAGTGGCAAACAACTTTTTATGTAACTCAAAATACAGCAGGAACACCAAATTGAAGTGATCTTTAGACTGCTATTACAGATAATTTTAAACTTAACTTTTATACTCAATGATAGAAAAATAAATAGCTACAAGAATTAGAAGCTATTAAACAAGGAACAGATGAAGCAATAGAATCATATTATAGTAGATTCAATAAATTAATTAAAAGATGTAATATCACTAATGCTACTCAACAGTTATATTACTTTAAAAAAGATGTAAAACCTGAACTATTACCTATAATCATGTTGCATAATCCTGGAAATCTAAATGATACTTGACAATTAGTTCAACGATATGAACAAGGAAAAGACTTTGCTCAACAGATAGAACTAATCTCATCCTTAAGCAATAATACTCACAAATTAGAAAAAGATATCAAGGTATTGACTCAACAAATGAAACAAATGAGCTTAAACTATGCAACTATTGCATCTGCTCTTACTGAATCTCATGAAAAACCCAAACCAAGACCAATTAATTACTAACGAAACCAACCAAATAGGATTCAATCTCAACTAAAAATTATTTGTTATAACTGTGATGAAGCAAGCCATATAGCTAAAAACTGTATGGCTGAACATCAAACTACTACTGAACAATACAAACAATTAAAGAAAGATACAATCAGAAATAGAAATATAAACTTCTTAGAAGCAGAAGATAATAGTGAAGATTTTGAGGAAGAAATTTACATTGCCAAAAATCAAAGGTCTACCCCATATACTACTGATAGAAAGAAAGCTAAATATGTTACAAAAATTCTGAATCTCAGAAAGAATTTAATCTATGTAACAAAAAGATAACCTCTATTTAAATAGAAGAAGATACTACTATGGAAGATGTATCTAATGAAATATCTGAAGAAATACCAACTACAAAAGTAAATCAACCAAAAACTAAATATAAAACTTAACTATCCGTAATTAATAAAATTGAACCTTATGATATCTCTGTTGATATCTTAAATATGAAATCTTTAGCTACCCTAGTACAACTATTATAATATTCTAATTAACGAAGAAACCTTGCTAAAATTATTCAGAAAAAAAAAGAACCTTTAACAGAAGCAAACCTTATTAAATTAAAAAAATTCAAGAAAACTACAGCAATGAGATGCTATAATAGAATTAAAGAAAATCCTGTTCAAGCTATTCTTGACTTTAGAGCTGCTATTAGTATTATTACAGCAAGACTAATAAAGAAACTAGGGCTCAATATCCAAGGACCTTCAAGAACTATAGTTGTAACTGCTAATGGTAAATGTACTAAAGTATTAGGAGTAATTTCTAATGTAAAAGTTACTATTCAAGATATTATAATCCCTATTGACTTACAAGTTATCAAGTTAATGGATAAAACTCTTCTTCTATGAACAGACTGGTTTAATAAATCTAGAGCTAAATTAGATTTTGAAAATAATACCTTAACTATACAATATCTAGATAAAAGAGCTACTATTAATGCTACTCACACTAGTAGTTTAAATCCTATTTACTAAGAAATTGATAATGAAGATGATAATGATCAATGGATTGATGAAATTGATGATGATGAATTTGAAATCTATTATATTGAGGAATGGCCTCCTGTTGTAAATAAATTATTCTATAATCCCTGGATTAATAGTGAAACTACACTTGCTTTTTATCTAATTCAGATGTTAGAAGAAAAGATTTATACTATAGATAATTCTAAATTCAATGTAAATGAAGAACTCACTAAAGAGCAACAAGAACAAGCAAGTTAATTCTTAACAAAAAATATTGATATTTTCTCTAAAAATATCTTAGAAGAAGGACAATCTAAATAATTAGGGCAAACAAATATTATCTACCATGAGATAAATACAGATAAAGCCAGACCTATTAAACAATGAGCATATTAATATCCTTCTGACGAGCAAGAATTCCTTCAAAAAGAAATTAAGGAAATGGAAGAAAAAGGAATCATTAGAGAATCCTATGGACCCTGATCTTTTCTAGTAGTAATTGTGCCAAAAAAAGATAGTAGAAAAAGACTTTGTATTGATTATAGAAAGCTTAACACTGTTACAGAAAAAGATGTTTATCCTTTACCTACAATTCAAGAAGTTTTAAGCTCATTTAATGGAGCTTCTGGGTTTATTAGCTTAGACTTGGCTAGTGGATATTGACAAGTTGCAGTAAAAGAAGAAGATAAAAAGAAAACTGCATTTATTACAAAATTTGGAACATATAAGTTTAATGTTATAACCTTTGGACTTACAAATGCTCTTGCTACTTTTCAATGTTTAATGGATCTAATCCTTCACCCCTATATCAACAAATTTGTAGTTGAATATTTAAATAATATAACTATATATTCTCCAACCTTTAAATAATGTCTTGAGCATATACAACAGATATTTACTATTCTTCAAGAAGCCAACCTTAAATTAAATCTGGCAAAATATTATTTCTTTCTAAATAACATTAAATTCCTAGGATATATAGTAGAAAAAGATGGAATTAGAACTGATAAAAGATTAGTAGAAAAGATTAAAAACTTTCTAGTACCAACAAACCTTAGACAATTAAGAGGATTTCTAAGAATTGCCTCCTATTATCGACAATTTATTCAAGGATTTTCTAAAATTGCTAAACCTTTAAACCAACTATTAAAGAAAGATGAACTATATATTTAGACAGAATAACATGAACAAGTATTTAATACTCTAAAGAATTATCTTATAACTAATTCTATATTACGATATCCTGATTTTAATAGACCTTTCTATTTACATACTGATGCTTCAACTTTAGGATTAGAAGCTGTTCTATCACAATTAGATGATGATAACAAGAAATATGTTATTGCTTATGCTAGTAGAAGTCTGAATAATGCTGAACAAAATTATTCTACTACTGAATTAGAATGTCTAGCTGTAATTTGGACAATTGAACATTTTCATCAATATCTTGGAATTAAACCATTCTTTCTTGTTACTTACCATGCTGCTTTAAAATGGTTAAGAATAACTGAATTGAAAAGGAAAAGAGCAAGATAGATTATGAGATTAGAACCTTATAATTTTATAATAATTCATCATGCTAGAAGAAAACATAGTAATGCTGATATATTATCAAGAATGTATAAGAAATCTATTAATATGTTATCTGTTGATGATGAGGAATTACCATAAGAAGAAGAAGCCTTATAAGCTACTATTTTTAGACCACAATTACCCTCTTAAGCTTTATATAATACTCAACCTCATTATAAAATAGAAGTATCAAAAACTGAATTTAGATTTGATAATGAAGCAAAATTTGACTGGACTTATATTTACTTCTTAAATAAGAAGTTTAAGAAAACTAAGGAAAAGCAACTAGACCTTTAAGTTGAAAAGGCTCTAATACCCAATGCTGGTGTTGGAATATCTTACTTAGACAAAGTAGCAAATGTTATCAATGCGAGGCTAATTGTAAAACATAGATTACTTTAAAACAAGTATCCTTACAAAAATTGCTAATATGTTGTCTAGAAAACTTACCTTCTCAGTATTATAAACTTTTGAAAACTATGAAGAAGAAGTTTTCATAATGGCAATTGATAATGAATCTCCTGCAAACTCTCTAACCCGAATAAACCCTAATTACTACCAAGACATGATAACAACTCTTGAACTAATCTTATATGAAAATTATAGTTTAACTTCATATCAAGATGTAGAGTTTACCTCAAATAGAATTTATTATAATAGAATATACTGTACCTGGTATTATATCGAACATATTAGTCTTCAGTTAAAACAAACTTTTGGAAAATATGCTTGGCCAATGGATTGAAAAAGACCTGCTATACAATGTTAGTGTGGTAATAAATTATACTTACCCAGTAATAAATGTATTAAATGCCGAATTGACCTATGATTATAGCTCACTATTTAGCAATATTCTTAAGAGAAATTGCTAAAAGTTATTGGCCTACTCCTGTCTCTGATGATGAAGAAAATACTATACTTGAAACACCCTTTGAAATAAATCTTATCGATGACATCTTTGTTGAAATTCCTTTTAATAAAATACTGATTAATGAATATCTTCTTAGTGACTATAATACTAATAAAGAAATTGATACTTTTAGTATGAATATTGACTATTATTTAAATATAGAAAAAATAAGTTTGGAACAACATTTGTCAACACACTCCTGGTGGTTACCACCTTTACAGATACCTTCACCAGAACACCTTCTTGAATTTAATAATTATTCAGAACATTATCTTTGTAATACAGTTTGATAAAAGTTGTTAATTCAACAACTTATGAATATTAATTTGAATTTATATTTAGTTTAATCTATATTTTATATTTATTTTTAACATAAAAAAAAAAAAAAAAAAAAATATATATATATATATATACATATATACATATTCATATTAGTTATAGGACCTTATATTATTAGCTTAGTCTTCTCCTAGACCTAGAATTATTGGTTGTCTAGGACAGTATAGAGTGAGACTGGAGCTCTATTCAACTTACTATCTTATTTTATTTTACTCTCTAAAGCTGATATAAAAGAAAATTCAGTCTAGATTGTTAGTATCCTAGCAAACATTTCAAAATAGATATAATCACCTACTATAATCTTAAATATTTCTTAGAAACAGCAAATTTTCTACTAATTTTTCAAGAAATCAAAAAAACAATTAGAATCTCAAAGTAAATTCTATATTATCAAGAATAATCAACTTTACAAACAAGATTGAAGAAAACAGAAAACTCATCAAGAATTAAAAGTAATCCAAAAACATGAAGTAGAACCTATTCTCTACTTAATGCATAATTACCTATTGGAGCACATCTTAGAACAGATAAGATATTTGAGAAAATTAGAGATAAATACTTTTGGCTGCAAATGTATCAACATATTAAAAATTATGTTCAAACATGTGATACTTGTCAAAAGTGAGGAAAATATCGAATACCTGGATCTCTTCAACTAATTCCTGTAGAAGTACCTTTTCATCGAATTGGTATAGATTTTG